GATTCAGAAGAAACCAAATTTTTTTGCATGTTGATCTTAGATTTCCAGGCTCCAGAAATGTGAGAACATAGATTTCTGTGATTTAAGCTTGAGAGTCTATTGCATTTTGCTGTGGCAGCTCTAGTAAACTGACACACGTAGATTTATTGACTTTAATGTAAATATCTCTATAATTATTTATTAATTATATTATTTCTGTCCTAAGTAGTTGTGGCAAGTTAAACCATTAACCTCTCTGGGGCACAGTATAATAAAGAGCTTAGAAGACAGAAGTGTACAGGGTCATATAACTGAGTTATGCAGAGAGCAAAGAAAGTAACATTAGAAAATTCCTAAGTCATGTGCAAAGTCCTTGACAATTAAGGACCTGGTCATCAAAATTGTGAAAAGGAGAAAATCAATAGGAATGATGGTATCATAAGTTCTTCAAAAGAGATTCAGTATCAATAGGGTGAATGAAAGAGGCCCTTGAGAAGTTTATTATACCTTCAAAGATTTGGGGTAAAATTAAATGTTTTAGGGTCAGACTCTGAAAATTCGATTTGAAATGAAGGAAGATATATCTTACTGGTGTTAGGAAACTTCCAAATAAATTTACAGTTGATTTACCATTTGTTCATTTTAATAATTAGCATACTTTATTATAACTTAAAATGCATTATACATAAAGTAAAATAGTTGTTTATATAGTTTTTATTTTTCTAGATAAATCTACATTGACATTTGCATTATAAAATATGTATTTGTTTTATGAACTCATCCCAAATCACCTTTTCAAAGTTATAATTAGATTACATAACAAAATGTCCTCTACATCTGTTAATCTCCCTTACTTAAGCTTCTCTCAAGATATATGCAAAATATTTTTTCCATGCAATAGCTGGAAATGCAGATCGATTTAGAATATTACCAAAAGAAATTGATAAGAAAATTATTATCTTAACTAATTATTATAATTTCATGTATGTGTTTAAGATGCTCATATCGGGTTTGCCAACTATTTTGAAAATCATAGAGACTAGTTTGATATAGTACTAGAAAACCTTTTGTTATATTTCTTATTACTGTATCGGATACTATTTTCAGGTAAGTATTTTATGAAGTTTTTGTGTATTACATTGTGTGATCCACACTATGCCAATTTACATAATCTAATTAATTATTTTCCTGTTTACAAATACATGAGAGCTGATTTCTCTCTGCATTATAAGTAAACTGCTCTAAAGAAAATAAATAACACAAATTTCATATAAATCAATTAAATTTAAATTATATATTTAAAATATGTCAAGATAAAAGAATCAAGCTACCAAATATAGAACTTTTAAAAATCTAAGAGATACTTTTCCTTCTCTTATAATTACTTTTATCATCTATGCCATTTTTTCTTTTTTAAAAAAATTTTTTTTTCAACGTTTATTTATTTTTGGGACAGAGAGAGACAGAGCATGAACGGGGGAGGGGCAGAGAGAGAGGGAGACACAGAATCAGAAACAGGCTCCAGGCTCTGAGCCATCAGCCCAGAGCCTGACGCGGGGCTCGAACTCACGGACCGCGAGATCGTGACCTGGCTGAAGTCGGACGCTTAACCGACTGCGCCACCCAGGCGCCCCGTGCCATTTTTTCTTAATTAAAGAAATGTTTTATGTTTATATTTTGAGAGAAAGAGAGCTCAAGCAGGCGAGGGCAGAGAGAGTGAGAGAAAATACCAAGCAGGCTCCACACTGTCAGTGCAGAGCCCAACACTGGGCTTGAACCTAGGAACTATGAAATCATGGTCTGAGCTGAAATCAAGAGTCGACGCCCAATTGATTGAACCACCCAAGTGCCCCCCATCCATGTCATTTTTAATGAAACTAAAAAATATAGATTCCAAGAGACATCATTATTTTTTGTAGCATGTAGAAAAAAATATTATAAAAAGCACCCAATGAAATTGTGACATATCTCCAATTATAAAAAGTGTTTTTGTTTTGTAAATATTAAAATGTGAGCTACTCCCAAACTCAATAAGTGTGTTATAATTTTATTCTGTTTGGTATAATAACAAATAATAATATTAGAAGATATATATCTAGAACTTTAGAGAAATATTTACTTAATTTCTCCAAGGGTATGCTATAATAATGTTCATGAAGTGATATAAACATCTGGACATTTACAATAATGAAAATTATTTTAAAATAATTTGGATTTGGATAATATTCTGGTATCCGCTTGTTAAACAGTCTTCATCTCTCATGGATAAATTTTGTAGTTAATATATGCTTCGTATTTCATTTAGGGCTTAAAGAACATAGAATTAGCTGCTGAATAGTAATTACCTGCATTTAGCATATACACAAATGGAAAACTTAATATCCTCAGCCTGATGTTTGATTTGACTGGATTTAACACCTGATTTTTCCATTTCGTTATACTCTGTTGAGAAAATGACACCAACTCGTTTTTTCCTCTCCTACTCACTTCCAATTTAATGAAGTAAAATATTTTTCAAAAAAAAAAACCAGAACATCCTTGAATAATGATACTTTTTAATTTTAATTACTATAGGCATGGAATCCCTTTGAAATTGACAGCAAAAGATTGTATTTCTGATGTTCTTTTTAGTCTGGCAATTACTGTATTATTGAATAAATCTAGTTATACTGTTTGCTGAGAGAAAATGGAACTATAATGAGGAAATGGAACAAAAATAGTATTTGATCATCCATATACATGTCAGCAGGCACTCTCGTACTGAAGACCCTTCCTTAGCATCTATATCGTAGCTAATATCTATTATAGAGATAAAAATACACAAAAGTTTACACCTCAGCCAGTTCTAGGAAAGAGATAAACAAGTGTTTGCTGCATGCCAACTTGTTTTTACATTCCTTGCTAAATCTATCATTTAGTAAGGTGACCCAATTAATGTTCTTGAATTAACTGTCTAAATAAACACATTTTTTTCCCTCCTGGAGGGAGAGTGAAGAAAAGCAAAGCAGATGAAATGTAAATTTTCCTTAGAGTTTTTTCCCCAAATTACAAGACTCCAAATGTATGAAAATCCCCTGAATTTATCCAATGGCTTAGAATTCTGCTGTACTAGGTTTAAATAACTTACTTTTATATATTTCCAGCTATCCATCCAAAAAAATGTGCACCAAGAGAATTGTAATCACATTATTTGTTTCCTTTGGAGTCTTAGAGAATTCATTATTAACTGTTGGTATTCAGTTCCCTAGAAACAATTAGGTCTGCTATAACATAATGCAGATAAATCAATAGATGATAGATAAATAGATGATAGATATAATAGAGATTATAGATAGATAGATAGATAGATGATAGATAGACAAAATAACTAACTGTAATGGGTGAAATGACAAATTAGATTATGTTAAAATTAAGAAAGATAGATATATAGATAGATAGATGATAGATGATAGATAGATAGATAAATAGATAGATAGGCAGATAGATAGATACATAGACACATATATACATAGATACATAGATGGACACAATTAAACATGGACACATAGATAGTGAAAGGAATCTATTCAAAGCACCCCCTCCACCCTCACCAATCAAGTTTACAGACAAAATTCACAGGTATCTGCACTTGGCCCTAAGTCGTTGCTTTTCTAGGTCACAGGGCCCTACATTCTCAAAAAATAGACCCCAACTACTAAACATATTTTCTAGCCTGACCACAGCCCCTATCCCAGATGAGCCATGGACAGAGCCCTTTGAGACACCTGCCACCTCCTCCCTTACCCGGCCAAGAATCCACCTGCTCCCCACACCTTCTATGGGCACAGCAATGCTCTCACATCCTTAAAAAAGCTAAAAGAAAAACAAACAAAGAAACAAACAGAAACTTGGCTGGCTTTCATCTCTCTTGAAGTCTGGCCTCTCTCCTCCCTTGGAGAGTGAATAAACTCTGTCCTGCTTGTCGTTCTCTTCTTCTTCTTCTTCTTCTTCTTCTTCTTCTTCTTCTTTTAAATATGAAATTTATTGCCAAATTGGTTTCCACACAACAGCCAGTGCACACCCCAACAGGTGCCCTCCTCAATGCCCATCACCTACCCACCCCTCCCTCCCACCCCCCATCAACCCTCAGTTTATTCTCAGTTTTTAAGAGTCTCTTATGGTTTGGCTCTCTCCCTCTCTAACTTTTTTTTTCCTTCCCCTCCCCTATGGTCTTCTGTTAAGTTTCTCAGGATCCACATAAGAGTGAAAACATATGGTATCTGTCTTTCTCTGTATGGCTTATTTCACCTAGCATCACACTCTCCCGTTCCATCCACGTTGCTACAAAAGGCCAGATTTCATTCTTTCTCATTGCCATGTAGTATTCCATTGTTTATATAAACCACAATGTCTTTATCCATTCATCAGTTGATGGACATTTAGGCTCTTTCCATAATTTGGCTATTGTTGTAAGTGCTGCTATCAACATTGGGGTATAAGTGCCCCTATGCATCAGCACTCCTGTATCCCTTGGGTAAATTCCTAGTAGTGCTATTGCTGGGTCATAGGATAGGTCTATTTTTAATTTTTTGAGGAATCTCCACACTGTTTTCCAGAGTGGCTGCATCAGTTTTCACTCCCACTGTGCAAGAGGGTTCCCATTTCTCGACATCCTCACCAGCACCTATAGTCTCCTGTTTTGTTCATTTTAGCCACTATGACTGGCGTGAGTGTGGTTTTGATTTGTATTTCCCTGATGAGGAGCGACATTGAGCATCATTTCGTGTGCCTGTTGGCCATCTGGATGTCTTCTTTAGAGAAGTGTCTATTCATGTTTTCTGCCCATTTCTTCACTGGATTATTTGTTTTTTGGGTGTGGAATTTGATGAGTTCTTTATAGATTTTGGATATTAGCCCTTTGTCTGATATGTCATTTGCAAATATCTTTTCCCATTCCATCGGTTGCCTTTTAGTTTTGTTGATTGTTTCCTTTGCACTGCAGAAGTTTTTTCTTCATGAGGTCCCAATAGTTCATTTTTGCTTTTAATTCCCTTGCCTTTGGAGATGTGTCAAGTAAGAAATTGCTGTGTCTGAGGTCAGAGAGGTTTTTTCCTGCTTTCCCCTCTAGGGTTTTGATGGTTCCCTCTCTCAATTTCAGGTCCTTTATCCTGTTGTTCTCTTCTTTGTGCAGTTTTTTGCCACTCGTGTCACCAGCCACCTTAAAAGACAAATAAGCAAGTACAAAAACCATCATTAAACTATCATAAAACTCTCATGAAATATTCAAGGAGTTAGCATAGATCCTAAGTCCACTATATTAAACAGTGTATTGGAACAGGAAGTAAAAGGAGCTTAGAGTTTACCAGTCTCCCTGAAGTAGGTAATGATCAAAGGCCATTCTTACCACATACCACAGCTAAATAATTATTTTTTTATTGTTGCTAGATAAGAAGTTTAAAACAAAGTGTTTAATATAAAAGTGTAAGATTTACCCATTTTTAACCATGTTTCTGCCTCATTCATTTTCATCAATGTATAATATTTTACTTTGTGAATAAATCTAATTTTATGTTTCAATTTTTCTTAAAAAGTATAATATAAAAAGTGTTTAATATAAAAAATTCTATACCTTCAGTTAAGTTGCTGACATAAATAAATACCTGTGAGAAAAACTGAAATGTGGTTTTAATGTTTAAAGGTCTTGGGGCGCCTGGGTGGCTCAATCAGTTAAGTGTCCGACTTCAGATCGAGTTGTGATCTTGCAGTTTGTGAGTTCAGTTTGAGCCCCGTGTCCAGCTCTGTGCTGACAGCTCAGAGCCTGGAGCCTGCTTTTGATTCTGTGACTCCATCTCTCTCTGTCCCTCCCATGCTCATGCTCTGTCTCCCTCTGTCTCTCAATAATGAATAAACTTAAAAAAAGTCTTTGAAGATCTTAAGAAAAGAATGTTAGCTACTAGGAAACGTTTTCCCAATAAATCTATCACTTGAGGAGAGCAAATCTTGATCTTAACTGCATAGCAGTTCCTAAAACTATGACAAAGAAACATTGACAGGAAATATATCTCAAGTGTGTAAAAATTAGCACACCTTTCTCTCTTATAAAAATGGCATAACATATTTTTCTCCGGTTTCCTGGACAGGGATAAGCTCACTGGTTACTTATTTAAACACACATACACACATAGACACAACACAAATGCCACCTTTATTTGCCATTTTACTATAATAGCTAGGTATATTTCTTTCCTACAAAAGGAAAAGTTTTGCTAACAATAATAAATACATGTATGCATAGTATTTTATGACATATATCATATACCATATATATAGATAGATAGATAGAATAGAATATCTCTGTGGAAGCCACTAAACATAACAGATGGTACAAGAATTTGCCTTAGACAAATTCTTCCTTAGACAGGAAAGATGTTTCTTCAATTTTTGTAACAGTACAAATGGAGAAAAATTCTATGCAGATGGGTTAAATTATTAGTTGGAAAAAAGGATATTTCATGGAGTTTCTCACAGGTTTTTGTCAGTTCATGATTCTTGCTGTCCAGTCCCATCTGATTCTTCATAGTCAGTTTCCGTAGGATGGATTTTGTGGGAGGTAGACAGCAGCATGTGCTACTTTGACATTAATAAAGTGTCACATTAATAAAAACATAGTGTTTTCCAAGCAAGTCCAGTTGTTCTGGAAGGCAATATTCAGTTTTATGATAAAAATCACTGTGTATCCACCAACATATCTAAATTATAAGTATTGGAAACACCAAGCATATGCAAGAATGTGTAGTAACTAACTCGTATCTATCACTAGTGGTTATGTAAAATGCTACAAACTTTTCAGAAAAGATAAGGACATTTTTTTATAAAATTAAAAATACACTTACCACACCACAGAACGATTATACTCTTGGTTATGTATTCAACTATAATGAAAACATATGTCCATGTAAGAGCTTGTATATACAGAATGTCCATGGAAAATCTGTTCATCATAGCCAAACCTGGACATGACACAATAAATTGTAAAGTGGACTAATCATATTTTTGAACAGGACTGCTACTCAACATAAAAAGGATTGAGCTACTGGTATATACAATATGGATGATTTTTATTTCTCTTCCTTTGTGGAAAAAAAATCTGTACACAAAACAACAATACCCTGCTGGCCTCAGCATGACCAGGTTGTGGTTGTTGAATGACAAGTATCACAAGGGAGGGGTGCATAGGTGGTTCATTCGGTTAAGGATCAGAGTCCTGGTTTTGGCTCAGGTCATGATCTCATAGTTTCATAAGTTTGAGCCCCACATGGGTCTCTGCTCTGGTAGTGTGGAGCCTGCTCAGGATTATCTCTCTCTCTCTCTCTCTTTCTCTCTCTCTCTCTCTCTCTGTCTGCCTCTAACTATACCCCAACTCATGCTATCTCTGTCTCTCTCAAATAAATAAAATTAAAAAAGAAAAAGAAAAGTATCACAAGGGAAAACTTTGGAGTCTTGTACTATAGTATGTTTCAATAGGGATGTATGCTATGTGGGTGAATTTGCTTTTCAAACCTAACAAATTCTATGAGTAGAATTTATGCTTCCCACTATATATGCATTTTTCTTAAAATAAAGAACTGTAAACAAAAATTATCCAGGCTAATGCAGGTTTTCTCCCCACTCTACTCAGTAGTTTAAGTAAAGGAGCATTTAAAGCAAAAACCGAAGTTAATTCAGAATTAGAGTTTGTCAAAGAGAACAAGAGAAGGAAGTTGAAATTATTAGAAAGGGCATGATTAAAACAAAAGACTATAGGGGTTGACTGTAGAGGGAAGGAACTAAACATTGGAAGGAAATCAATAGGCAAATATAGAAGGGTCAAGTCTGGTAAGAGCAAAGATTTAGAGGGAGTAGGCGAGCAAAATGCTGGAATTATAGGAAGTTGTAGTCAGAGTTAAAGTTCAAACTTAAGATTTCATATGGTTCAAGTGTATAAGTTTGATAAGGTCCAGGATCTTGAGTAGGTCCCTGCACTGGACCGACGTACCATGGTATATTAGTTTCCTCAGGCTGCTGAAAAACAAATATCCCAAACTGAGTGGCTGACAAGAGTAGAAATTTATTATCACTAGGTTTTGGAGGATAGAAGTTCAAAATCAAGGTATCAGCAGGGCCATGCTCCCCTGAAGGCACTAGGGATGGATTTCTATCAGGCCTTCTAGCCTCTGGTAGGCTCAGGTATCTTTAGCTTGGGGATGGTATTGTCTCTGTGTCTTCACATTGTCTTCCTTCTGTGCCTGTCTCTCTCTTCACTTGACATTCTCCCAAAGTACATATTTCTGTGTCCAAGTTTCTCATTTTTATAGGGACACAGTCACATTGGATTAGGGCACAAACTAATAACTTCATCTTGTCTAGTTACAACTGCTATGACTCTGTTTCCAAATAAGATCAGAAGTTTGAGAATTTAGGATTTTAACATATAAATGGGGGTAGGCATGATTTAACATGAAACACAGGCTTAGGAAACTGGAATAGTAAAGGAAACCAGAATTTAGTGATGGATATTGAGACTGATAAAGTAGGGATAATAAGGTTAAACAACATGAGCTGGAGGGGAAAGTAGCAGTCTGGATATTGCCTGGGGGACACAGCAGATTGCCACTGAGGAGTCGATATGTGGATGGAAGAGTTATGCTTTTTGTGAGGGAAGATCATGTTGACCTTCTGTGCTGGCTTGGAGACCTTATGTGCAGGATATGAGAAGAATTAAATGGTTGTGAAGGTGGCACAATGAGGAGGCTGAGTGGAACAAGGTCAGAGGGAGCAGCCCTGAAATGGGATACAGGTGTGAGTGCTCCTGGCAATGAGGTGGGGTTACTCCCTCCCTCTGAACTGGACACCTCCTCACTCATTGCCCTTACCACATTTACTTAAAAATGATATACATTTTATGTTCTTTGGTGCTTAGGAGGAAAAAGACCAGCTTCTTTTCCCTAAAGGTTTCAAAATAGCTATTTCTTCTGTTTAAAACATGATATTTGCATGGATGGGTCGTTAATATCATCCATTTTGTAGCTTAAATGTCACGAGCTGAGAGAAGCCTTCCCTACCTTTGACTCACAAATGGCTATATGGTAAATATCTATCACATCTTATCATATTGTAACTATTTGCATAGAAATCATCACTCTCTGACAAATTTCTAATTTATTTCACCTTTATCTATCTTTTACACCACATTGTAATGGAATGAGAGGGGGAAAAAAAACCTTAATTCTCTTGATCACTTCTGTTTTCCCATCAACAGAGCAGAGATTGGCACAAAGAAGGTCTTGAGAAATATTTTTTGAATGAAACGTGATGTCTGTTTGGTTTATCATTATGTGCCTAGCACATAGCACAGAACTTGCCATATAGTAAGTGCTTCATAAATCATTCTGAATGCATTAATTAATAAATAGATGAGTGACCAAATATATTAACCTGTCAACAATTACCAGAGATGACAATACATTGGGAGATATGATAAAATTTTGCAGCTGAAGGTTTTTAGAATGAATTACTTCCACCAAAATGCTGGGAGATGTAGCAAGTGTGGTGGGGTAGGCAGCAGGCCCAAGAGATATTCAATCCCCATCCTCAGAACTAGTGAATATGTTATGCTCAAGTTCAGAAGGACTTTGCAAATGTGATTAAATTAAGGACCTTGCAATGGGAAGAATATTTTCAAGGAAATCTGTGGTGGGCCCAATGCCACCACAAAGGTTATATTAGAAGGAAAGCAGAGCAATGGGTGTTAGAGATAACGTGATGTAGTGACAGAAGAGAGGGAAGCAAGTCAGGAAGGAATTTTGAAATTCCTCATTGCTCACTCAAGATGGAGGAAGGGGCTGCACACCAAAATTACAGGAAGCCTCTGATACGTGGAAAGCACAGGAAATAGACTCTCCCCCAATGTGTCCAGAAAGAATTCTGCCCAGGTGAGCCCATTTTAAATTCACAAACTCCAGAACTGTAAGAGAATAAATGTGTGCCTTTTACCACTAAATTTGTCATAATCGGTTACAGTAGCAGTAGGAACCTAATAAACTTAATAGTGTTAAATTTTTTAAATTTGTCATATAAATATTCTCCGGTATAATGTCATTCTTTAAGAATCATGAGGAGGATCCTGGGAAGATG